AGCAGTCAAATTATTTCTCCGACAACGTACAAATGCAGGGAAAAATTGAAGCTTACGAAGAATCGTTCTAACAATCAGCCCACTCCTCTTCTTTACTAACCATCTGCTCTCCAATGGTCTCTCTCAACTCTCCCAATTCTACCACCTCCGGACTCCGTCCTTTGTGTTCGTACATGCACGAAACTTGATCAAGCAACGACGCCGCCGTTCTGCGAAAATTGAGTGTCGAGACCACTGGCTAAAAAAGGAGAGCAGTTATGTACATATGGTGGTGGCTTGAATATGGAAGCCATAGTAGTCAGTCATTTGCTTCGCGGCTGGTCTCATTCGCCGTTGGTTATTGTCGGAATTACTTTACTAATTTATCTTTACCGGCATGACGGCATCCACACGCAAGAGAAGAAATGGCCGTCCGCTGAAGGATGGATAGGGGTTTGATCTTCGTCTCGAATGTCAGCAGAGAAAAATAGAGGCTGAGTGGCAAAAGAGCAGAGACAGGTGACGGTGAGAAAGGCGGATGGCGTTTCGTTTTCCTAGTTCACCTACGGCTTAGATTTGATCTCCAAACCAATGACTGCAGGTCTGCGCCCCACAACGATTTGACTATTTCTCTTCAATCTTTCAAGGTTTTTTTTCTTCTGATTTTCTTTGTATTACAGGATGCCGTTATTGAACTATTGGAACACAGATTTGTATTGTTGTTGAGGAAACCAGTTGTCTTCAAGCCAAAGTTTGTCTTCAAAGGAGGTACCAATGGTTTCCCTTTTCTTTTTTTTGGGCATCATAGTTTTAGCTTAGGTTTGGATACAAATTAATAAAGGAGGGGAAAAGGAAGAGAGGGGAAGGAAAGCAAGGAGAAGTGAAGGAAAAGAAAAAGTTAATATTAGTTTTGTTTAGATAGATGAAAGTGAAAGAGAGAAAATGATAATATTTTTATTTAATTAAATAATTTAATAAAAAATAAAATAATTTTTTTTAAAATTTATTAATTAAATAAATAATTAAAATAAAATATTTACATATATTTATTTTATAAAAAATTTAAAACAAAAATAAATTAAATAATGAAATCTCTCTCAATCCCTTTAAATTGAAGGGATTGAAAATTGAGGAAGGGAGAGAGCTTCGTCTCCCTCCCCTCCATTAAAATTTTTTATCCAAACAAAAAGAAAGGCTTTGAGCCCCTCACTCTCCTTTCTTTTCCCTCCAACTTTCTCAATCTAAACAAAGTATTAGAGTCCTAATAAAGGTTTTTAGTTGAATCTTTGTTAATACCATTTGCGTGACTCCATCTTTGATTTTCTGTTTAATAATCAATTGTTTGAGATTTTGGTAATAAATTTACATTTTACCTTAAAAAAAAAAAAAAAACTCCAAACTCACCACAAACTCACCACAAACCCAGGCCGTCCTTCAGCACAAATTCATAGCAAATACAAAGCTAGAAAAGACTCAAAACATAAAATTGAATGGGAAAGGAAACAATCTCAAAGAGTTACTACATGCGTAAAATCAATCTATACAGGGTTTCCAATCCCCATTGCAAAGCAATTTGCCTTGGCAAAGGGGAAGAAGACCTTTCCTTTGCAAATGCCAGAACCGTATCATGAACGTCCGCCTGTATGTCATCAACAATTGTGCATGCAGGCCTAAAAGCTTGCATCTGTATTCTGCTATTCCTCACAATCCTAATATGGTATACTGAAACGCACCAGGCTGTCTTAAAGAGACAGCTATACAAAGCCTTTCTTTTAACCTTCTTCCAGAATCCTACCAAGTACAGTTAAGAGGAACTTCCAACATAGATGGATTGCTGTCCTAAATCTATCTGGTATAGGAACAGGAGAAAATTAAGTGGTCTCTTGATTCACTAGCAGCTTTGCATGGCACACAAGTATCGTAAATAGATGGGGACCAACTGTTTTCCTGAACATGGTGGAAAGCCTATCCAAAATAGCAAGCCAAGTAATGAAGTTGTGCCTTAGAATTCTTATTGAGAACCAGATGACTAGAAACGATTGTACTTTAAGTTGGAAACCCAGCCAAACAACAGAGTCCCTTCGTAGATTGGTTTGGGTACAGAGCCCCACACAAAGCTATCTGAATCTGTAGCATTTCAAGCTTATGACTTTACCCCTTCACTGTAACTCATTAAATTTCTATGTTTTCTAGGTCTTTTGATTCACTTGATGCTTGCATTTATGCAGAAATCATGACATGAATCCCAGACACAATTTCATGGGACTCCAAATTTGAACCTGCAGGAAGTACACCACTCACTTTTACTGTGAAGCTATACTCTTACAAAGTATATATATGGTAAGAGGATATTGATGGTGGTATGTTGTATCTTCCAATAGCTATAAAATTTAGCTCTTACATTCTGTTTTAAAAATTCAATCATGGTGTTCGTTCATCAGTTTGCAGCTTTAAAAATAGCAATTGATGATTTTGAATGGCCAGGATCAAGCATCCAGATTATTCTCCATCCTGCACCTCTTTCTGTTACATTTAAAGGAGAAGGCCCTGGAGACTTGCAGGTATTGCTTGTCTCTCACTCATAAACAACTCTTTAGGATTTTATAATATTTAGAAGCATAACTGCTCTTCTTTCTTACGGATTGACTTCATGTATTATGCAAATACTAATCTTATTGATGCTTTACATCTCGTGCTCAATTTTTAACCTTGCTAGTTCTTCCCCTGGCTTCAACAGTTTACAGGTATAACTACAAGTTTCTGCAAGCAACCACTTCAAACCAACCCAGTATAAGTAATGTTATTAAAAGATCACATCCACACATTGAATCTGTTGTCTATCAGCAGCCCAGCCGAATAGCTTATGGAGTTCTTTGTGAAGCCTGAGGTAGATGAAGATGAGGCAAACGATTCGAAGGACTTTATTGAAGACATTTATGTTTAAGTTTGAATTAGTCAGTTACTAATTTATTGTTCTATCTCCTATAAAAAAAAAAAATCCATTACGTTATTCTGCTTCAATTGTTATTGTTGATATTACTTGAATTCTTGAAAGTCCCTTGCCATGCATCATTGTATTCTCGTTGAGATACATCTCATGTATTCAACAGTTTGAAATAATGAGATTGTGAAAAACAAGGTTCCTCTTTACTTGAGTTTTTCACCATAAGATGAGAAATTATGTGTAGGTATAGGAAGGAATAATTGTTGGAGCAAGTAACAAGGTATATCTAAAAAAGGGGTACCATCAAACACATGGTTTTCCAACATCGAACCTCATTTGCAGATGAAACTCAACAACAGAATCTAGAAGGGCAAAATTTGGTCATGAAAAATCACTATATTTGACTAAAATAAAACTGAAATATAACATTTGTTTGACTAAAGCAAAAACTAAACCACAAAAACCTCAGACCACCATTGCCTCTTCAATACCAAGGCATTAACAGCTAATCTAGACCGTAAGGAAAAATGTGAAGGAATTACCAATCTTCTTCAACTATTGATCTCCTTAGACTGTAAGAATCACTGCATCAACTGATCCACTTCATTTTCACCAAACAATTGCCATTCAGGTTCAGCACAGGACTCAAAAATAACCCTCTCCCCTTGGTAAGCAAATTGCATTCTGCACTGTTTGAAATCCCATAAAATAGGGCCTAAAGTTGCAAGCCATTGATTTCCCAAAACCACATCACATCCGTTTTCAATGGGTAGCATTAGCATATCAGATTCAAACTCAATGTTCATTATTGTCCATTTAAAGCCTTTGCAAATTCTGGTCTTCCCCTTGTAATTTGTTCCACCAGCCACTTCCACATCATTATTTCCCAAGTTACACAAGGTAATAATGGACCGACCATTCCTCTTCCTCAGAAATTCCTTGAGATTCAAGAAATTATGGGTGCTGCTAAGATCTACCAAAATCTTGATGGCAGTTGATTGGACATAACCTATGAGTCTCATGGGAATATTAGCAGGCCATCCATACAGAGAATGTGCAGAAATACATGGTGTATCACTCTCAATTTCCTGAGATTTCCCAACCTTTTGCCATTCATGCTCAGCATAGGACTTCAAAACCGTTTTCTTTCCTTGGTAAGTGAATCCAAGCCTGGACTGTTTGAAATCCCAAACAACAGTGCCTAAAGTAGCTAACCATTGATTTCCGAGAACCACGTCAGAGACCTCCAGCGTTTTCATCCCTATCATATCAGATTCAAACTCAATATTATCTATTCTCCATTTAAACCTTTTGCAGATTGCGCCCTTTTTCATGCTGCCATCTCCAGTAGACACTTCCGAAGCATTATCCAAAACAGTAGAGCAAATCCTCCTCCTAACTTTTGCAAGATTCAAGAAATTATGTGTGCTGCTTGAATCTACCAAAATCTTGGTGGGAGTAGACTCGACAGAACCTATGAGTCTCATGGGATGATTAGCACGCCAACCCAACAGAGCATGCCCTGAAATATATGGAATATCACGCTGAATTCCACCAAAGGCGGTACCTTCTTCAATTTTCTGGGATTTCCCTCTGTTACAGCTATGTTTCGTGTTGTATTTCTCCCCACAGGAGAAACACAAACCCATCTTTATTTTTTCCCTTTTGGTGAGGGTTCTTGATGGAAGGTCTCCAGATTCATGCTCTTGAGGTTGAGGGGCTTTCCCTTTGAATTCAGAGCTCTTTTTTGCACTCTTTTCCCCACAATCTTGAATCAACGCAGTGACATCGCTCTCCCAGCTTGCTTGTTTAATTCTTCCCTCCATGGTTTAGTCACAAGATTGAATATTATATGGCAGAATAGTGACGACTGGTGCAAAGGTGTTGTGCATTATTTATATCGAAATCCTACCTCCCATAGTAATCCTAGGGGTTTTGGGTTTAGACTTCCACTAATTATTAAGTTTGGAGTCAACTACTTACCTCTTTCGCATTTGTCTTTTTTTTTTTCTGTTTGGTTGGCTCATCATACAATCCCATTAATAATGAAAATCTTTTTTAATTATGGAGATAATATTTATAATTAATGAAAAATATATTTTTCGATTGAGACCGGTAAACCATAAAAAAAAAAAAAAATTAGTCTCTTTGTTTATTTTTAATGGATTTAATTTTTTATTTTTCAGATATAAATTTTATGTAAATAAAAATTTAACATAAGATTATCTAATGTGTAACTGATAGGTTAAGAATATAAAAAATATTTTTTTAATTAATTTA